ACTATAAGCTTTATCAAAGATGAAACGTTCTTTAAGCCTACTCTTAAATGCGGAAGAGTTTGTCTGGCTCCAGGAACCACAAAACTGGAAGCTGGTTTTCCACAGGAGAGGAGCTTGGGTAACTGAGAGGCTCTGGGCTCCTGTTCTACTTTTAGGGAGGGACTATTTAGGAACCACAAGTAACCCTGCATTCTAAGAGGAAACGCAGTGTTCTAGATGGGGGGGTAATAGGGGTTACTTATGAGCTCTTTCAAATTAAGAAATGGGGCCTGACCATGAAGAGCTTTATACGGTGGAGGAGGGAGAATTTTAAATTTCTATTTCTAATTTTTAAACAGGGGAGCCAATGCAGAGAAAGCTAGAACAGGAGGAGATGGGATCTCTTTTCCTAGTCCTGGGGTCAGTACTCATGGGCTTGCAGCGTTTGAATACATTGGGGAAGGCGTTCTTTAATGCGACTAATTAGGGGCAAAATCCTGAGATGTTTCTGTCTCCAGGTGTTTCTGTCCAGGATTGTATCCTGTCCGGGTGTTCTGTATCCAGATGTTTCCTTGGTTCCAGATTATATCTGTTCCAGATGGTTTCCTGTGTTCCAATGTTTCGTGCTTTCCAAGATGTATCTGTTTACCGGGGGTGGTTTCTGTTTCCCAATGTTTTCTGTTCAGGGATGTCTTTCTTTCAGGATGTTCTGTTCCACGTGTTTCTTGTTTCCAGATTTTTCTGCTGTTCCAGGTTTTTCTGTTCCAGATGTATCTGTTCCAGATGTATCTGTTCCGAGTGTTTCTGTTCCAGGTGTTTCTGTTCCAGGTTTTTCTGTTCCAGATGTTCCTCCTGGTGGCTGCAGCTCCACCTGTTGTTAAAATTTGATCTGTAGACCTTTCATTTTAACATTATCTGAGATGTTTGCAGGTGAAGGGATGCAGGGCCGCAATGTGCACGTGTCTTTGTGAGGAGAACTTCTGTTACTTGTAGCATGTTGTTGATGTATTGTTGACTCTTTGTGAGGACTTACGGCTGTTACTTGTAGCATTAGCTGGTTTGATTTCCAGTCAGCACAACCTTCAGGTAGCACAGTTACCTCAGACCTCTGCATGTTGTTTTCTAGGATCTGTTCAGTAAACAGAAAGGTTACCTGGATGAAGAGTTGGACTACAGGAAGCAGTCGATGGACCAGGCTCATAAGGTCAGTGCAAGCAGCAAAACCAACAAAAACAGCCAGCTGTAAGAGAAAATGTGGTGTGTTTCAAGGTGTTGAAGCACAAACTCACTAAAATAATGTAGAAGTGTAGCTGATATTTCTCTTTAATGCCTTTATTGGTGCTGGGACCTGGTCTAAAGACATACTAACCCTAACACTGTTTTCCATCTGTTAGTTGGACACGTTTATCAAAACAAACAATGTTGCATTCACAAGCCTATGAGAGCCCCATAAGGGCCACAAATATTTCTGAGCAACAACTGTTTGTAAAATAGGGTTAGACGCTGCCATCACAAATATCTTCCAATCTAACAGTGGGATGTGGTTGTTTACTCCCTTTTTGAGTTGGTTACTTAAATAATCATGGTACAGTTGACCTGGAATGGACCAATGGATTTTAAATGATCTTGTTAAGATCATTTTGGGGGCATTTTCACCATTATTGGACAGTGGCAGTGAAGATGTAGACAGAAAAATGGAAGAGAACAGAACTTATTTTTTGTTGTTGCTGCAGAGGATCCTGGAGCTGGAGGCCATGTTGTTTGAGGCTCTGCAGCAAGAGGAGGAGTCCCGGATGGAGGGATTAAAGATGGAGGAAGGTCGTCTCTCTGAAACACTAACGGAGGAAGAGAGGGAGGGGCTTAGGAGAGCCATGGACCAATGGAAACGAACCCTGATGTTTGAGCTGAGAGAGAGAGATGCCCAGATCCTCCGAGAGAGGATGGAACTACTGCAACTCACACAACAGGTAAATACACAAACAACAGGTAAATACACAAACAACAGGTAAACATACAAACAACAGGTAAACATACAAACAACAGGTAAACATACAACAGGCAAACATACTAACAACCGGTAAACTTACTAACAGCAGGTAAAAATACAAACAACAGGTAAACATACTAATGGCAGTTAAACAAACAACAGGTTTTCTATTCCATTCAGTTTTATTTGTATAGCACCAATTCATAACAAAAGTTATCTCCGGACACTTTTCAAATAGAGCAGGTCTAGACCGAATTCCTTATAACATTTACAAGAGACCCCAACAGTTCCACCATGAGCAACACTGGCGACAAGGGCAAGGAAAAACGCCTGTTAAAAAGCAGAAACTAGGACAGATCCTTCGGCCTCTAGTGGGGGTCGTCTGTCTCGACCAGTTGGGGTGAGAGAGAAGAGAGAGAGAGAGAGAGAGAGACCAACGAGACAAAGAGAGAGACAGACAGACAGACAGGAATGCACAGCAAGCAACAGTATTGGTAATGGCAATCAGCAGGAACATGGCAGGAGGCTCCACCAGGATCCATGAGAACCTGCAAGACGATAAAGCAGCATGAACTCTGGGGAAGAAGTGAGTAGTAATCATGCATTAATGGGAAACATGAATGAGTGCATGAAAGAGAGAAAAGGAAGAGAGGATCCAGTGCACATGGAAATCCCCGATAGTTCCTTAGCCCTATAGCAGCATAACTAAGATATGGTTTCTAGGACTCACCTGATTCCAGCCTAACTATAGCTATTATCAAGAGGAAACGTCTTAGCCTACTCTTGCGGAGAGGTTTCTGCCTCCCAAACCACAACTGGAGCTGGTTCCCACAGGAGAGGAGCTCTGGTAACCTGAAGGCTCAGGCTCTGTTTCTGCTTTTTAGAGACTATAGGATCAACAGTAGCTGCATTCGTAACGCAGTGTTCTAAGGGGTACATAGGGATCTGCTTCAAAGTGACCATGTAGGAGCTTTAGTAGTAGGGAGGAAGAAATTTTAATTCTATTCTATTTTAACAGGGAGCCATGCCAGGAAGCTAGAACAGGAGAGAGTTCTTTTTTCCTAGTTCCTGTCAGTTACTCATGCTGCATGCGTTTTGAATTAATTGGAGCGTCTTAATGGACTTATTGGGGCAGCCTGATAATAAGGAGTTGCAGTAATCCAGCCTAGAAGTAACAAATGCATGGATTAGTTTTTCTGCATCCGTCTGTGATAGGATGTGTCTAATTTCTGTAATATTACGTAAATGAAAGAAAGCAGTCCTGGAGGTTTGCTTTATGTGGATTCATCGTTAACATGTACAAACTGAGAACGATCTGATAAATAGGACTTAAACCAGCTTAGTGCGGTTCCTTTAATGCCAATTAGATGCTCAAGTCTCTGTAATAGAATATGATGGTCAATGGTGTCAAATGCGG